AATCTTACAGGGAAAGATTCACATGGCATAACTATTTACTTATTATGTGTTAATTAACAGGGAATGCTCAAAGGTTCTCCAGCCAAGTCGCTCTTGGGTGATTTTTTTTGTGTGTGTTTGATTCATCAGATGTCTTGGAGTCATGGCAGAAGAAGATTCATCATTAATGGTCAAAGGTTTCATACAGATGCGGTGAAGCGAATTGGTATGTTGTGATGAGAGCTCCACCTAGAGGTTATCATGAGTTGGAAACAGAAGAGGATTTAGGTGGTGTACCTTTGCCTATACAAGATGTCGATGACTTGGCTGGTGAAGCTTCTGATGATGAGAGTCTTTATGTTAGGGATGATTGTGAAGGGTTGTTAGTGGTAGATTGATAGTATTTGGAAGTGTTGTGGTTTGATGGTTTATGTAAAAGAGGATATGTTTTGTTTGTTAAAACATATTTTAGCTTTAATAATATCACTAATTATTTTTATTACAAATATTTGAAATAAATATTAAATTTTTTAAAATAAAACCAAATCGTAATTAATTTTAATAAAATTTCTGATATTAAAGAACAAATTAATAACACGAAACATTTGCTATCTTTGTATACGTAAAATCAAAATAATTAGTTTTAATAACGGTTTTACAGCCTTATTATAAGTATTAACAATTGCATAGACAACACCGCTATTGTTGTTTATTTTAATATAGTATACGGCTGTTCCGCTATCGAAAGTGTTAGACCTATTATGACGGGCGATCTCAGAGCGTTTTAAGGAGCGCTATGGTAGCGATCTCATAGCATTTAACGTCCGCTAATAAAACCCATATTTCTTGTAGTGTGCGACTGTAAAAACGAAGAATGAGTCTCTTGAACAAGAGAACTGGAAGCTTAGAGGAGATAAGAGTACTGGCGTACAATATAAGGGGCGGTTACAATTCGTGCGAGGGAGCACTTGAAAAAGTGAGACCAAAGATGTTCGTCAGGAAGTACGTCGGGACGTACGACAAGGAGTACGGCATGAAGTTCTGCAGCGTGTGGCTGTGAGTAACAAGCCGAAGGGAGTACATCAGTGCAACAACAAAGGTCAGACATGAGGTTCTGAAGCATGGTTGTGCATCTGGTACAAGGAATGAGACTGATCGATGAACCAATAACTATGTCAGGCCCAAGAAGAAGCAACATCGGATGTGCTGTTGGTTCTGTGGAAAGGTTGGACACAAGAGAGTGGAGTGTTTTGCTCGTGAGAAGAGCAAAAACATGGCCTAGAGGGTGAACAAGACGTTCATTAAACCCAAGAGGGCTGAAGAGCTGTTCTTAGCCAAGAGTGGTTTACTTGATGAGGTCAAGGAAGGGACATCAGAAGATGGGTGAACCTCTAGTGAGAGTGGTCTTGAGTTTGATCAAGAAGCATCAAGTCTGGAGCCAGGACACAAAGTTGTTTGTGGTTCAAAGGGGAAGGAGATCGAAGTGCGTCAGGAAGTGATGCGAGATGATCTTCAGAAGGGTGATAGTGAAATCACTCCAAGACGATAGCAACGAGTGCAGAGGGCACTCGGTGTGGATGGGGAGGGGCTAATGGTCAAGGAGACGACGCATGAAAGAAGCCAGATCCTCAACAGAAGTGGGTCGAAAGGTAGTTCGACAGGTGATGCAGTACTTGTTATTCCGCTGCAGCAGGGGCTGTGTCATGATTATACATGAAGAAGTAGACGGGTGGGTCTGTAAGGCTTGGCATCTAAGTATCTGTGTTTTACCTTAGTATGCAATCAAGCAGGGGGAGAAGTGGTGATGTTCTGGTCTAAGGAGTGCATATCTCATGGGGGAGAAGAGCATGGTGATGGACGTCATGAAGTAGATAGTGCTTATCTCATGGGGGGAGAAAAGCATGGTGTGGTGCACATCTCGTGGGGGAGAAAATCACAATTAGTGTGGGAGTTTCCAGATGGGGATCGAATGTGGTTGTTGAACCAGAAAAACGTTGTGCTTGATGAGCACACAAAGCTAAAATGGGGAGATTGTTGATGTAAGATGTCCTCCCTGAAGTAGTCGATAACGTAGTTGCTGAAGCAGACGTCGTGTTGAGTGGTGAAAACCATGTGAAGTCAAGATGCTGAACTGGAGTCGTGTATACTTGGAGAGAAATGGTGTATCTTGGAGAAAAGGCAAGAGGAATAAACTTGGGAAGCAAGTTTATGACTTAAGGGAAGATTAATAAGTGCATTCCAAGAAAAGTAAAGTTGTACTTAATGTTATGGAAGATGTCCATATTGTGTTCCTTGGAGACTAGAATTTCGGGAACGTGGAGAATAAGTATAAGATAGCTATAGGGTCGTCTGTAGAGAGACATAGACACATAGGCTGATCTTATAGAGAGAGAAGCTCTTAGAAATATTCTTGGATCGTGCTGAAGCAGTGTTTGAAGTACTTGACGGCAGAGAGACACAAGTGAGTAGCTTAGGAATCTTTTAGTGACGTGTGCTAGGGTACTGTTAACACTAGACGTGTAAAGCTGCATAAACAAGGTCTTGTATGATTGTTTAAAGGAGATTTCTAATAAAGTTATTGGTGTTCTGTCTCTTGGTTTATTTTCTGCATTACTATATTGTAGTGTCATCTTTGCACTTACAAGTTGATGCTTTCAAAGAGGTTTAAAACTATTGCTCCGCTGTATCAGTCTAAGACAATTTGTTGATAATGAACCTTTATGTATTAATACAAATAATGAATGATAGATGTTTTGAATAGTTCAGAAGAAAAGTTACGAAAAATCTTGTCAACAACATAATTGAAATTTTAGGAGAGATGAAAAGATTAGTTCAGCAACTGAAATTGTAGAAAAAAAGTTTTAATAAAGCTAGTGAAAAAAATTGTTAATAATTCATTTATTTATGCTATAACTAAAAAACAGTTAAGGAGGAGATCGTGGATTTGTGAGAGGATAAAACTGTATTAATTATGCTTTTATTTTTTAATTAATTTTAAAACACAAGTCCATGTGGCAGAATTTGATTGGCCTTGCGACTTGTGCTTTAGTATATAGAGGATATCAAAAGCATTATTTGAGATATGCAACTTTGTATTACTTTTAAAAGGCTGCATTCAATCTAAAATTTAAAATAATTTAATTATTAATAAGTTTTTAGATGATTTCAGGTGAATTTGAGAATTTAGTATGATTTTTGTTAAACCAATTTAAAATTTTATTTAAAACCATAAAATTTGTTATTTTAATTTTTATAACTAATAATTTTTTTTTTTGAAAATTTTAGAAACCTTTAAAATGCTCTAAAATCTACAGCTTAAATTTTGTTTAATAATAATAATAGTAGTGGACTTTAAATCATCTTTTTAATTTATATATGAAGAACATTGAATTTAGGGAAAATCGCATAATAAACCTTCAAAGTGAAACTTACTAGCACTTTAAACCTTGAAGTTTTTTCACTAGCACTTTAAACCTTTAAAGTGACATTTGTGTCACAAAAAACCTTGAACTAGAAAATCTGACCTGTTGAACAGGTAAAACAGGTCATTTATCAGTTTTTTTTTAATAAAAATTTAATCAATAATAAAAAAAATTAATTAAATTTTCAAAAAAAAAAAAAAATCAGAACATAAAGAAAAACTTATAAAAAATAATTTGAAATACCAAAAATTAAATAAAATTCCGAAAATTTAAAAACAAATTAAAAAAATTCAAAAAATTGAACAAAAAATAAACAAAAATCAAATACTAAATTAAATTTTCAAAAAATTGAATATTGTTTGAAACCATCATCGTCAATAGTGATATATTTGAAATTTTTATTCTCAACTATAACATTTCAGATTTTTTTAAAATAAAATGTTGTATTTTTTATAAAATTTTCAATAAAATTGACATATCATCGTTGACAATAAAAATTTCAAGCATAGAACTGTTGAAGTTCATGGTGTCAAATAGTTAAAAACATAATCTTGTAATTTTCTAAAAATTATTTTGAACTTTTGAGTTTTCAATTTTGTGAATTTTGTTTTAATTTTTTTTAATTTTCTGAATTTAACTTAATTTTTAATTTTTCAATTTCTTTTTCTTTTTATAAACTTTTCTTTCTGTCCTGAAATTTTCTTTAACTTTTTTGAAAATTAAATTGATTTTGATTTATTTTTTGCTTATTTATTATATTAATATTTATTGCTCGGAAAAACCTAATAAATAAAATAGGTAATTTATTAAATATATATTTTTAAAAATTTTCTTTATGTTCTGATTTTTTGTTTAATTTTTTGGAAATGTATTTTAGTTTTTGATTTTTATTTATTTTTTTGTTCAATTTGTGAATTTTCTTTGATTTTTATAACTAATAATTTTTTTTTTTGAAAGTTTTAGAAACCTTTAAAATGCTCTAAAATCTACAGCTTAAATTTTGTTTAATAATAATAAAATTCAATTGAATAGTAGTGGACTTTAAATCATCTTTTTAATTTATATATGAAGAACACTGAATTTATCATTTTAATAATGGGAAATTGCATTCTTAATTATGAAGTTGACAAAAGTTTGCACTTTAAACCTCGAGACTCAACCACTAACACTTCAAACTATTTAAATCATTTCCGTAACAGTTTAAACACCGAACTTGCCAGCCGTCGTCGTACTGTTACAAAACTTAACAGTAAAGTAGACACCGTTAACAAAACCTGTTACAGACTTAAAAAAAACATGCTTAATTAAGCTTTTAAACACGTTTTCAATGTCATGTTTGGGTTTATAAAAAGACAATCCCTTCCTCAATTTGGGATTTAGGGTTAGTGAAGGTGAAAGAAACTGAGATTTCGAGATTGATAGAGAGAGAGAGAGAGAGAGAGAGAGAGAGAGAGAGAGAGAGAGAGAGAGAGAGAGAGAGAGAGAGAGAG